TGCAAGTGTAAACCTATATAAAAGTGAGGTCTGCGCAACAAGTGCAGAAAGTAACTGACGTGCAATTTATATAATCGGTTCCTTTAAGAAAAGGAGTATGATTTGTCGTGCTTCGTGACCTATTTCTATTCTCAAAAAATTTCCCTACAATTTTCTTTTTTAATATTTCTACTTACACTCTCACTACTCAATTATTTTATTTTATTTTTTTGTTTGAAATATAAAAAACAGTTGCTTGGTATTTTGATTTTCTAAATAAATAATATTAAATTATAATACTCCACTTTTGGGGCAATAGGCTAAAGTTTCAATGAATAATTAACTATTAAACTATACTGCAATAAATAATAATTAAAATAAGTAATTACTAGCAAATAATTAATTAGTAATTAAAAAAATAATTCAACTTGATAAACAATAATTTTCAATGACAAGAAAACTGAAAAATTGGCAAATTTCACAAGAGTCGAGTTGGCGTATTTGCTTTGTCAGTAGTAAAAGTGAATTACGGTCAGACAGTGCAAGGCTAGTGTCAGTAGAACAAGACGGTTATAGTCGGACATAACTATTTAAATCATGAAAGAAATAATTAGTAAAAATCCATTTCGTTCAGAATAATCTTCTTCAAATGATAAAATTCTCGAGAAAAAAATGAAAACTAAGTAATTTTTCTAGGAAAATAAATAAAAAAAAAACTCAAACTATTTCTTTGAATTAAATCCATAAATATTCGTATAAAAATCGAGCATGACTCTGATTAATTAAAAACTTGGCCGAGACAAATCGTTTAATATTGTAGCAGTTTAGTTGGAAGTGAAGTGAATGTAAAAAATTGTAAGAAAACCAGAAGGTAAAAAGTAGAGACACAGATTTATATATCTTTCCGTCTAGAAGGGAGACAATGAATGTCTACCCATGTTCCAGCGAACGGGAAAAATTAATAAGTTAGTCGACTATGGACCACAAATTCATTCGCTTATCAAACCCCATTTCGCAGCAATGCTTTCACTCTTTCTTTCTTTTTCTCTCTTTCTCTCTCTCTCTCTCCCTCACTGTTCTTGCGCTTTGCCTCTCTACGGGATTTTTAAATGAGAATTTTAACGATCGACCTACATTTCACTGTTCCATTTACGGCGGGTATCGCAAACAATGTCAAATAGCACGTTAAAAATGCTAACTATCGATATTCAACTTTTCGGAAAAGTTAAGAAAAAGATAGAAAGAAAGAAAGAAAGAGAGAGAGAGAGAAGCAGGAACATTGATTCTCTATTGTCAAACACTGAGAAGTTAAATTGCCTTCCGCAAGACACTATATACAAGGGACTTTGAGACTCTAATCACTTGATGTATTTTCAGAAAAAAAAGAGTATAATTGTAAATTACTAATTTTTAGAAAACTTATAAATTACAAAAATGGACAAAAATGAAGTAACTTTTACTACTTTTATGGTAAAATCTAGACTGTCAGGAATTATTGCGCATTTTCGAATTTTTAACTTTTTTTAACATTTTTTCTGGAGTCAATTTTAGAGTTTCTGAATAAATAAATTTTACTCAGAAATTTTGCAAATAACATAGGTACAAGGCAGAAATGGGCAAAAATTACTGTACTTCATAAATAGTAGTAGTAAAAGTTAATCTTATTTTTTTTCCCCGCGTCAAAATATGTACTAAGGAAAAAATTTATCTGAAACAACCAAATGGTTGAATCAAGTAGATAAATGCATTTATTTTGCTTTAAGCAGGGCTCGAACCAGTGAAAGTATTTAAAAATACAGACTTTACGGACCAATTGCTGACTAAAATGTAACCAGTCCGAGTATAAATTAAATTTTTCATAACTATAAAACTTGAAGACATCGATAACTCCGAGTCTTCGACTCGGAGTGATCGATTTCTTCATGTTTTAGAATAATTAAAGATGGCCTAGTGATCAAATTATTATTTTCAAGAATTTTTAACTAAAATTTTTCTTAAAATCGATTATTTTTTTAAATTTTTTTCGAATAAGTTCTTTGACAATTTTCAAATCCATTTGTTTACAATATTCAATTTTACGAAATTTTAATTATTCGTAAATTCTTCAATGAAATATATATTAGAAAATAAAAACTTTAAATATCCATCTTTAAATTAAATTCTATCAGAAAATTCAACCAGAATTAAATTATTTAAATAAAAAAAACAATTTTTTGAATAATTGCATGTTTCTTAAAATTGAATTCTCATAAAGAATATTGTATCAATAAATTTTCAAATAATTGAATTCTTTTGACGAATTTTAATAACATTTTTAAGAATCCATTTGTTAACAGTATTCAATTTTTGTTTAATTAAAATTAGTTTGTAAGCTTAATCCCAATATATAGTAAATATCTACTACTTTGATTCAAAATTATTATTTGTTTAAATAATTATGTTTAATTCAAACATATTTTCTGTTTTGATTTCAAAAAAATTATGTTTAAAAATTTTATGTTTGAATCAAACTTAAAAATTGAATATAAATAATTTAAAATCAACCATAACTTATGTTTGAATTAAATATATTATTTCTTTAAATGAACCAAAAAATATATTTCAATTAAACTTTAATATGTTTGACTGTATAGAAAATATATTTTAAATTTGATTCAAACAAAATATGTTTGAATCAAATAAATTTTTTTCTCAGTGTATATTTGGAAAAAAAATTCAAATAATATAAAAAAATCCGCAATTAAACTTTCTCAAAAAAAAATTAATTCCACAGAATTGTTAGTTAAAAATATAAAAAATTCAAATTTTCAAAGATTTTAATCTGAAACCTTTTCAAAATTCAATTATTTCTAAAAATTTATGCTCGAATGCTTTTAATATTCAATTATAATCTAAAATTTTAACTGAAATCCATTTTTAAATTAATTTTTATTAGAAAATTCCACCAGAATTCAATTATTTAAATAAAAAAAACAATTTATTGAATAATTGCATGTTTCTTAAAATTGAATTCTCATAAAGAATTGTATCAATAAATTTTTAAATAATTAAATTCTTTTAAAGAATTTTAATAAAATTTTTAAGAATAATTACATTTTTTCGAGGAATTCAATTTTAAAATTGTATTAAAAATAATTGAATTCCTAATAAGAATTTTATTATTTACCAAAATAATTGAATCCCTGTTAAAATTTTATTATTTATGAAAATAATTGAATGATTGCAAAGAGATTTATAAAAAAAATTTGTAAATAATGAAATTCCTGTGGAATTTTTATTATTTTTCGAAAATAATTAAAGGTTTGTGTAGAATTTTATTAAATTTTTTTTTTAATATTTGAATTATTTTGGAAAATTTTATTAGAATAGTAAATACCTATTAAAAAAATTAAGAAAAACCTATTATTATCATTGAATTGAGGAAATTTTTTGAAAATAATTGAAATTTTTCCAATAATTTTATTAAAATTTTTGACATAATTGAATTTCGGAGAAGAAGTTGATTATTTCTAAAGATAATTGAAATTTTGACAAGAATTTTAAAAAATTGAAAAATATTTAAAAATGGATATTTTTTATCTTTATTCTCTGATTAATCGCAAAGAAAAAATATAATCATGATAAATTTTATTATAATAATTTTTTATATAATTTATAAAAATTATTATCAAATAAATATTTACTTGAATCAAATAATTTTTATTTAAGTGTAAAGGACATTGTTATATTTAAATCGATATAATACAACATCTATGAAAAGAGCGAACTAGACTTTTTATTTGTTTCAAATAAATTTTATTTGGTTTAAATAATATACTTTTAATCCAAGTAAAAATTTTAATTAAATTGAATAAAAATTTTTTAAAACAAATAAATAATACAGTTGGCTCTGAGACAAATATACTTTTATTCAACTCAATTAGATTATATTTGGTTTAAATTAAATTTTTCTCTGGGTGTACTTCTTTTTTTATCATTTTCATTAGAAAGTGTATAAAAAGTTGTTTTCTAATTCTCTTGATAACCCTCTGTTGTTCAACTTTCAAACTTTACATAATTTATTGAAAAAAATCGCAGCTTTCTAATGAAAATGATAACAAATAAAAAAGAGGTAGTTTTTGTAAAAATTGAAATATAAGGTTTACTTTTTAAAAAAGTCCTTAAATTTTACATCGTTTTCACGATTAGTAGAAAGTATTATTATGTTTAATTGTTAATTAAATATAATTATAAGTATTAGGGAATTAAAAAAGGTAACGATGGATTAGAGAACATTAAAGTAAGATGCAAAATTAAGAAAAAAGTTAATTTTTATATCTCTGCTTTGAAAACAAATAAATTAAAAATTAAAAATATAAATAATTTGGTATAATTTTTAATTTAATTTCATAATAATAATTTGTTACAGTAAATTACTTCTCGGTAAATATAAAAAAATATGAGTAAAAAAGAGAAAAAAGAAATGTTAGAAAATATGAAGTTATCAATTTAATGAATAAAATTAATTAATATAATGTTATTAACATAATACAGTAATTAATTTATTTATAATTACCATATTTTTTCATTACTTCAATAAAATTTTCGAAGGAAATTTTTTATTCCTTCGATAAAACCTAAATTAATAATCAAACTTAATAATCAAGTTTTTTCATAATCAGCAATTCCTTTCATAATCAAGAATATTACCAAATATTTGATCAATCATTTAAAAAACGCGAATTCAACATAATCGGCAATTTTCATTTATAGAAAAAAAGAGTGATCCATATTTTCAGTGAAACTTGCTGTCGGAACAATTTTGTGATGTTTCATTTAACAGCCAAAAGTGCAAGGGAGACCATTTTATTTGACAAAGTTTTAAAGTGTCCCAATGGCCTGTAAGTTGCGACACAAATTGATATAACGAGATTTCGAAAATTCGCCAACTAAAAATGCTATGGTCTAGAAAAAAACTCGGCAAAGAAAAAAAAACAGGAAGAAAAAGAAGAAGAAGAAGAAGATGAAAACATTTCACTTACCTTGAGATGCGGCTGGACGAGAAGTTCCTGGAGTTCTCGAAGATCACCTCGATCGATATTTCTAGCATTTGACCTGTCGACGTCTCGAAGAACTTCCTCAACTTCTCGGGCTCGTTGAACTGCATCTGTCTGTGGAGCTCGACATGGCGTTGGAGTTAGTGATGAAATTCTATCGTAAAGCTGCAAGAAAAGGAAAATTTTACTCAATTATATCACAGTATTCCTTCGATTTCAATTAAAAATAGTCGCCATCCTGAAAATTAGAAAACATTACCTACAATAGTGAATGAAATAAATATTGAAAATAAAAGAAAATATTAAAATTTTATCATTGATTCAAACCTAAAAGTTGATTATGAATAATTTAAAATCAACCTTCTTTTTCTGTATGTAGATAACAATAAATAATAATAATAAAATATACAAGAAATAATAAATATGGAAATATCAATCACTCGAACTAAAAAAGACTGCCAAAAAATATTACAATGATAAAATGTTGCAAAAAGTGCAATTTATTTTTCTTTCAGTTACACTTCTACTAGGTACGAATTTCTCTCCATCCCTTTGGGAATTGAGGTTGAATTTTCTTGTAAATTTTACATAACACCTATAAGTTAGAATAGTAACTTCTTTATTTCTTTTTCCTGGGCTTATTTCAATTTCAAATAATTTTGCGACACTATGTGCAGTAGGTGGTAGGCTTTCTTGTACAAAAAATTACCTTTCAAGTCTGTCAATTTTATTTTATTATTCAAAAAAGTAAAATATCTTGAAGCGTTATTTAGCTTTACTTTATTCCTTTTGTATTGAGAACCAAATTCTTTTTCATTTTCAAAAATCAATAATTAATCTTCACTCTAAATTTTAATAAGTACAAATATTAACTAATTTAAGTTAGTGACTGATTTTTTGCTTATTGAATTAGTAAATTTTTCAAAAGCAAAAAGTAAGTCACTAATTCAAATTAGTAAACATTTTTACTAATTCAAAATTAGAGAGTTAATCATAGAGAGTTAATCTTCTATTTTCTTAATCAAAATAATTTTTTTAAAGACAAATTTACATTTTTAAATTAATTTTTATTAGAACATTGCAAAAAGAAAGGTACTAATTTAGTACCAATTTTGGGTACTAAATCGTGATTTGGTTCTATTTTAATACCGAAAATCAGCTCTAATTTAGAACCTTTTATTTACAGTGTAAATTTGAACCAGAATTCAATTATTTAAATACAAAAAAAAACAATTTATTGAATAATTACATGTTTCTTAAAATTGAATTCTCATAAAGAATTATATCAATAAATTATTAAATAATTGAATTCTTTTGACGTATTTTAATAAAATTTTTAAGAATAATTAAATTTTTTTAAGGAATTCAATGAAAATTGTATTAAAAATAATTGAAAATCTGCAATGAGTTTTATTATTTATCAAAATAATTGAATTCCTAATAAGAATTTTATTATTTTCCAAAATAATTAAATCCCTGTAAAAATTTTATTATTTATGAAAATAATTGAATGATTGCGAAAAGATTTATAAAAAAATTTGTAAAAAATGAAATTTCTTTGCAATTTTTATTATTTTTTTAAAATAATTAAAGGTTTGTGTAGAGTTTTATTAAATTTTTTTTTAAAGAATTGAATTCTTTTGGAAAATTTTATTAGAATAGTAAATACCTATTAAAATAAATCATTGAATTTTAGAAAATTTTTGAAAATAATTGAAATTTTTCCAAGAATTTTATTAAAATTTTTAAAAATTATTGAATTTTGGAGAAGAGTTTAATTATTTCTAAAGGTCATTGAAATTTTGACGAGAATTTTTAAAAATTTTTGAATATAATTGAATTTCTGCGAAAAATTTGATTACTATTGAAAATAATTGAATTTCTGCAATTATTTGTAATTTCTCTAAAATTATCCAAATTATATCGTACAATTTACGGACTTTGCGAACCTTTTTGAATCAAATTACGGACTTTACGGACCTTTTTTTAAAAAAAACGGACTTTTACGGACTTCAAGCAAAGTAACGGACTTTTACGGGATTTACCCTGCTTTACGGCGACATCTTTTCCTGAAAAAAATTCTATTAATTATTTATACATTAATTTTGAAAAAAAATACGTAAGTATGGAATTTAATAACTTACATATTAAAATAAATAATTTATTAAATTTAAATTCAAGAAAAAAAAACGAATACTGAAATTCCGAGGGAAAAACGAATTTTAACAATTGAACAGACAAAAAATTCCCATGAAAATAACGAATAAAAGTAACTTTTACTATTTTTTGCGACAATTTTGACTATTTACAGAAGTAAAATTGACTCTGAAAATAGTAAAAGTTGACAGAAATTCCAAACCGTTTAAATTTTACTACAAAAAAAATAACAGTTATACTTTATTTTCTCTGTTTCAAAAAAAAAAGGAAAATTACCGAAACTTTCAAAAGACTCAATGGAAGAAAGAAGAGAAGACTACTAGCGCCATTCCATTTCTTCAAACAATAATTTCCAATGTAAACAAAATTGATCAGAACAGATTCGAAGCGAGGAAATCAGCAAAAATAAAAAAACAAAATCTACAGAAACACAATTAGTAAATTTCGCTATAAACTGAATAACTCGCTAGAAAGTAGAAATAAAAAAAATGCCCATTTTTGTCGGTACTCACCAAAAGACTAGCAATTTCAAACAAGTCCGCAGCAAGTTCGGACTCGCCAAATAATAAAAGTTGAGAAATTCTCATCTCAGTTGTGTTTACCGGTGATAAGGATTAGACTCATCCCCTCGTGTTTTCGCCGGCATTGATTTCATTAATGTAGTCGTGAAGAATATAAAGAGAATTGTGAATGCCAGGAAGAAGAAGAAAAATACGAGAATGAAGAGATAAACGGGTACTCGTGTTTTTGAATAAACGCGAGACCGCGATCCCGTCAAGGTACGTGACATTGTTTACGAACTTTAATGCGTGTTATTACAAGAAGCCATCTTTGAAGAAGAAGCAGGTGATGACGCATGCGATCTCAAATTTTACAAAACTTGCGAAACTTCTAACGCGCAGCTTAAAATTTATTCTATATTATCTTCTTCACAGTGAGGAGAAACGAGTAGCACCCCTGGCGAAAATTCTCACAACTATGTCAAAAGAGTGAAGAACGAATGCGGCATGCAACTAACGACGCCACGGTTTGATCCCGACTGCTTTCTAACTTATCAGAAACATTTTCACACTCCCTTGCCTATAGTTGGTATACCGACCATGGGAATGCGCAAAACCCGCTTTAGAAAATTCAGTCAGAGGGGTTGAAACAACCCTCTCGTTGCTCTACTTTACCGGCGGTAAATTCAAATTTTTTAATTTTAAATAGGCAATATTGTCGATAAATATTTTTCTATACAATTGTTTTACAATAATCACGCTTAAGTCCGACTAAAACTGATTGTTACTACTTCAGGGCTCTAAACAGTGAAAGTACTTAAAACAACGGACTTTACGGACCAAAAATGAAAAATTACGGACCATTTACGGACCAATTGCTGATAAAAATATAACCAGTCAGTCACATAAGAAAACATTTTACTTAAAACTATAAATTAAATTTTCCATATAACTATAAAACAGGAAGATATCGATAACTCCGAGTCTTCGACTCGGAGTGATCGATTTCTTCATGTTTTATAAAAATTAAACATGACCCAGTGATAAAATTATTATTTTCAAGAATTTTTAAATAAAATTCTTCTTAAAATCGATTATTTTTAATAATATTCGAAAAAGTTCTTTGACAATTTTCAAATCCATTTGTTTACTATATATTTTAATTTCACGAAATTTCAATTATTCGTAAATTCTTCAATTAAATATATATATTAAAAAATAAAAACTTCAAATAATATAAAAAAAAATCCAAAATTAAACTTTCTCAAAAAAAATTAATTCCACATTGTTAGTTAAAAATATAAAAAATTCAAATTTTCAAAGATTTTAATCGAAAACCTTTTCAAAATTCAATTATTTCTAAAAATTTATGCTCTAATGCTTTTAATATTCAATTATAATCTAAAATTTTAACAGAAATCCATTTTTAAATTAATTTTTATTAGAAAATTCAACCAGAATTCAATCATTTAAATACAAAAAAACAATTTATTGACTAATTGCATAAATTGAATTTTCATATTTTTAAATAATTGAATTCTTTTGCCGAATTTTAATAAAATTTTTAAGAATAATTACATTTTTTCGAGGAATTCAATTAAAAATGTATTAAAAATAATTGAAATTCTGCAATGAGTCTTATTATTTATCAAAATAATTGAATTCCTAATAAGAATTTTATTATTTACCAAAATAATTGAATCCCTATAAGAATTTTAATATTTATGAAAATAATTGATTATAAAAAAATTTGTAAATAATGAAATTTCTGTGAAATTTTTATTATTCTTTGAAAATAATTAAAAGTTTGTGTAGAATTTTATTAATTTTTTTTTTAAATAATTGAATTTTTTTGGAAAATTTTATTAGAATAGTAAATACCTATTAAAAATCATTAAATTGAAGAAAATTTTTGAAAAAAATTGAAATTTTTCCAAGAATTTTATTAAAATTTTTGAAATAATTGAATTTCGAAGAAGAATTTAATTATTTCTAAAGATAATTGAAATTTTGACAAGAATTTAAAAAAAATTTTAAACGTAATTGAATTTTTGCCAAGAAATTTATTACTTTTGAAAATAATTGTATTCCTACAATCATTTGTAATTTCTCTAAAATTGTCCAAATTATATCGTACAATTTTTTTTTTTTTTAAAAAAAAACGGACTTTTACGGACATTAAGCAAAGTTACGGACTTTTACGGGATTTACGGACCTAGTTCGAGCCCTGCTAATGAAAGTTGTTAATTCTTATTCCAAACGTCTTGTCTGACTAAAATCTGAGTTGTGCTACTGGCAATAAAATATTTTGTCTGACTAAACAGAGGTTCTACTACTGAAAACTGAATTTTCAGAATTTGTAACTTACGTATGTTTTAAAATTTTCTTTTACTTCCGAAACTTGAATTTTTCCAATGCTGACAATCATCGTCTGACTAAATGCAATTCTTACTACTGAATTTTAGCCAGAAAAATTACAATTAAGTTAATTTGTAAAAAATAACAGTT